GTGGACAAAGACCCATTTAGGTCTAAAGGGGATGATGAGAATGTATTAGAACCAGAAATCTCATATCTAAATGCTATTGGTGCTCTACTCTATCTGGCTAACTTCACTAGACCGGATATTGCTTTCATAGTAAATTTACTTGCTAGATTTAGTGTTTCTCCAACCCGAAGACATTGGAAGATGGTAAAACATATCTTTAGATATCTCCAAGGTACAAAAGACCTCCGTCTTTATTTTGAAAGTAACCAGGACACCTCTATGTCTGATCCCCATAATGAAATAAAAGATTGGTTGTGTTTTCCTCTGTGGATGTACAACTATATCTTTGACGACCGTTAAGCAATCCTTAGTTACTACTTCATCTAATCACTCGGAAATCAATGCTTTATATGATGCCTCAAGAGAATGTGTATGACTGAGGTCATTGATACATCGTATCCATAGCTCATGTGGTATAGCGAGCCGAGTCGACACCCCTACTGTCCTATGTGAGTACAATGCAACATGCGTTGCACAAATGAGTAGTGGGTATGTTAAGGGCAATCTTACGAAACACATTGCGCCTAAGTTCTTTTACCCACATGAATTCCAAAAGAGTGGTAAAATCCTTGTTGAGAAGATTCGCTCAAGTGATAATTTGGCAGATTTGTCACTAAATCCCTGCCTACATTTACTTTTGAAAATATGTTCACAAAATTGGAATGCGTAGGTTTGTAAGATTATTGTCTTTACGGGGAGCGACAATGTCTAGGCTCTCTTGAATATACATACATGAAAATCCTGAATATTATTCCCTAAAGGCTATTGGTAGTATTCTTTTTTCCTTAGCTAGGTTTTTTTTCCCGAGTTTTTCTTAAACTAAGATTTTTAACAAGACAACCGATGTAACACCTCATTATATATATATATATATATATATATATATATATATATATATATATATATATATAGTGAAAGGTTCCAGTGCGGGTGGGTGCTTCCCGTGCGGTTGTGCGGTTGATTAATGTGCGTGAGCTTTGTACTTAATGTGCGTGAGTCTTGTGTTTAATGTGCCTGAGCTTTGTTCTTAATGTGCGTGAGTGTGTAATGTTAATGTGCGTAAGTTTTGTACTTAATGTGCCTGTGTAACACCCCCCAAACAAGACCTATATATAAGCCTTAACACATGCAGATTAAACAACAAAACTAGCACAGCGGAACATAAAACGAAAACTAGATAAAAGAAATCCGAACGGGGTGTCACGCCACGTCTACCAAACACGGTAAACGCTACGGCAAACAATCTGCAAGTGTATACATCTATCCCAAAACATCAGTCTAAAACTACACGGGCACACAGGCCACAAAACGAGGATGAAGGTGCTAAGCTACCAGGCACTAGACATCGCGCTCGTCTAAACATCACCTGAAAGATACAAAGATAAACATTGGGACGACGCCCGGTCAGCAATAAATGCTGGTAACCCACCAATACCGTTAAGTATCATATATAGATAGATATAAGGTGTAAAACCATTTTCGAAACGGAATACATATATATAAGTCAAAAGCCAAGATCAACAGTCAACACAAGACTCATCACTCTCAAAGATAACACGGGAACACATCCCAAACCACAAAGGCTAACCACAACGCGAAGGATAAAACTCACCCAACGGCAACACATGCCTCCGTGACTACACACGTCACGAGAGAAGAACACACAACGCCACCTTTACAAGCCCTCGCAACATCACCCATCACGAGTTGGTATGCCTTCCTTATGCCCTATTCCAACCTTATGGCTACCCCCAACCTTATATCTTCTTCCAACCATTACCTCCAGGACCCCTGTACTTCTTAGTCCAACCTTATTCCCCCGGGACCGTCGTCCTCCACCAACGACCACCAACGAGACCACCAATTCATAGTACACAAGGTACCGTACACGGCAACACATGCCCGGATAACACATGTTATCCCCAAAAAACGTGGACCCATCACTCAGGCCACAGCTCCATAATCACGTCACGGCCACCACGAGGACCGCTGTAATACCTTGGTGACTAGTGTCCCATACCACTAATCGTGCAATCCAGGTAAAGCCACACACACACCACAACTCAACAAGAGTCAATCAACGGATTACAACGAAGGTATGATACATACTCAATCAAGGAACGGGTCACAACCCAACAACAACAACGATGAATAACACAAGTTATCATCAACCGAACGGAAGGTACAAACAACAGCATGCTTATCAACGGGGAAACTCAAGGTAGTTCCGAAGAACACACAAGACACCTCTTGGTCCAACGAAACACAATGTTGAACACTTAGCACGATTCAAGACACCAAAGTCCTACATGGATACCTACCATATAGTTCTAGACATACGAAACATCAAGAAGACACTCAAATAGTTTCACAAAAGAACAACGGGAAGTCAAAAGACCAAATACCGAGTCAAACGGATCACGGGGAACAAATCCCATCTCAACACCATTGTGTTCCCCGCGGGTGGACCCACGGGTAGGCCTCTACCCGTGGTTCCGCCCGCGGGTACACTATCCACAAGCCTTTGTACCGGCGGGTGGGCGGCGGGTAGGGCTCTCCCCGCCGTTCCGCCCGCGGGTACATCTACCTGTGCAAAATAATCCCTTCGGAGATTTTCTTCTCCAAACACAAATTCAAGTCCAAAACATGCCAAATCTCACCCAATACAACAAAATGACTTGAACCATGGAAAATGCCAAGCAATGGCACAAAGGAACCCTAAACACAAGCTCTAGATATGCAATATCACAAGACAAATGCATAAACCCTCACATTTCATAGCAAAACACAAGTAGAATTCAAGAAATCACATATAGGTAAGCAAAATAGGTTTTGTAGAGCATGGGTTACCTCTTGTAGACTAAAAGACTTCACTTTACACCACAACAAGCTCCCCACAAAGCTTACTTTCCAAACCCACTTCAAGATCAAACCAAAAGATCATAAAGATCCCTTTAAGAAAAAGACAACTAAGATAGAACCAAAAACACAAGATAAACTTAGATCTTACCCTTCTAGATGCCCAAATAGATGAAAGGTTGAATCTTGGAAGCAAATCTTGGAATCTTGACAAGGGTCTCAACTTGGCTTGGAGAATAAGCTACACTTCTTTTCTAGAGAGAAGGTAGAACTAATTTCTAAGATTTGAAAGGAATGAAATGAAGAAGTCTTCTAGGTTAGGTTACAATACTAACTCTTGGTGAAAAGTCAAGAATACCCTTACTAACCTTTAGAAAGTGTAAGGAACAAGGGAACTCCCCTCAAAGCTCAAGGTACAACACAACTTTAAGGTTGACTAGTCAAATACTAGTCCTTGAGTATTAAAAATCAGGATTTTAAGAATTAGTTCCTCAAATAAAATAGGATTAATTACTCAATTAATCCATGGATTGAATGTGGATTTTTGGGTTGTCGCAGCCTGAGTCTTGTGTTTAATGTGCCTGAAATTTGTAGTTAATGTGCGTGAGTGTGTAATGTTAATGTGCATAAATGTGTAGTCTTCACATGAAATGCAGCACCAGAGCTTCACTATGTTGGAATGACGAATTGTTCCCAGTATTTTAACTTCTACTTGAAACTCCTTCTCAAGCATCTCATCCAACTTGTGCTTGCTCCAAATCCTCTTCACAGCAGCTTTCCCTCCATTACTCAACGGCACAACATAAACTTTCCCCGATCCACCACTCCCGACCAAATTTTCCTCTTCTAAATTTGGTATAATGTTTGATTGGTTGAAGCTCAAAGTGTGGAATGGTGTGAGCTTCCAATCGTGAGCCAATAATGCTTGTCCTCTTTTCTTGTATCTGAACACATTTGTGGTCTGAATGTATTATTTATAGCTTCCTGTGCGATTGTGTTAAAAGTCACGCACATTAAGCACAAACCACTCGCACATTAAGCACAATACTCATGCACATTAAATACAAAACTCACGCACATTAACATTAAACACTCACGCACATTAAGTACAAATCTCAGGCACATTAAGTACAAGACTCACGCACATTAAGTGTAAAACTCACGCACTTTAATCAACTGCACAACCGCACGGGAAACCACAAATGCACCTGATCCCTTCCATATATATATATATAACATTTATTAATGAAATACGAGCTCTAACATTTTCTCTCTCTTAGTGTTTTCTAATTTTCTTTTATACTCTCTTCTCTATTTCCTCTACAAATTCCTCACCTTGGTGTATAATACTTTCAATTGAAGCATTACCCTACTAGAAAACAGGGGTAGAGTATGTCGAACTCAAAACAATATTATTATTTTTAGCTACACAATATTAGATATTTGAAAGTAAATAAGACTCAATTAAGAGGTATTTTACATATGTGCTTATAGCTTTAATTTATATCTTTCCATTTTTTAAGTTAACAACCATTCAATCATGTATGATAGCATCACTGTACCAGGAATCGAGTCTCACCAGCTGCAGTGTGGGAGTAACCTCTCAAAGTGAGGGGACTCCTTGTGCACAGTAAGTAAAGGTCTAGCCTCTGTGGTTCATATTCAGTTGAGTTACCATAATTTACATCCTCCCAGATGCTCTGTCGGGCCGGGGTGTGAGGGGCCTTAGAGTTGGAGTTCAACCTTTTGGAAGAATGATAGCATCACTGTTACTATTTCAAACGAAAGGTCACAAGTTGAAGTCTCATCCTAATCAAGATGTTGATAAAAAAATTTTTATTTTTTGTGACAAGGAAAACCTGTAGTCACTACTCGTTAATGTGTAAAAATGACCTCGCATAACAATCTTAACTAAGATAGTATTAGCATGAATCGAATTCATGACTTTAAATAAAGTATGATTTGTTTATTGAATTATTCATTGAATAAAATATTAGTCTCATTTACATTTCATATCACTTGACTTCAGGATTCATAAATCATAAGAATTCACTTGCACTTTCACTTCCAAAATGTAAAATGATTTGTTGTGACATTGAACATATGTAAATACACACAATGAATTTGATAATGAATGTTCTGTTTTAATATTAGTCGGGCATCACCCGAATGAAATGTAGAAAAATAAATAAATAAATAAATAATCTATATTCATAACTAGTGATCATCAAGAGAAATCCACTCTAACTCTAGATCAATTTCTCCTGATTCTACATTCTGCAACTTGAGGAATACTTCTTGTTTAACCTTCCCATCAACAATGTTGATAGTACTATCCTGAATGAGCGCATTATCATGGGATTTCAGCCACTTCCCTATCTGCATGTCACCAAATATTCTGGGATCTCCAAATGCCATGGCTGAGGTTAACATAGGCTGAATGTCAACCTCTGCCTCCCCCATTATATCATCAGCACTAAATGTGTCATGATCGTATACTTGCTGCAATGGAGACAGATCATGTTAGGATCAAATGCTTACCACTACGCCAAAAACTATAACTCACAGCAAAGATAACTTTATTTCCTTATATATTACCACTACATTTTCAAGAGCCAGGGTGCTAGACTTGCCTTTCACCGGCCCCTGCCCAACAATTCCCCTCCCAGCATACCACTTGTTAAGATCAAGCGCTTACCATTAAGCCAAAAGCTATAGCTCACAGCAAAGCGCAACTTTATTTCCTTATATACTGACACCACATTTTCGAGAGACAGGGCGTTGGACTTGGAACTTCACCGACCTCTACCCAACAATCCCCTAGTCACCGATTGTTACCTTATATATTGTCACCACATTTTCGTGAGGCAAGGTGCTAGACTTGGCCTTTCCCCGGCCTTTGCCCAACAATTCCCCTTCCAGCACCTACCCGTCTTAATTGGATACCACTTGTTAGGATACCATTACACCAAAAGCTATAACTCAAAACGAAGCACAACTTTATTTCCTTATATATCGACACCACATTTTAGAGAGACAGGGTGTTGGATTTGGAACTTCACTAGCATCTGCCCAACAATTCCCCTACCCACCAATTGTTAGACTTGACCCTTCATCGGCCTCCGCCCAACAGATCAAATTTGAAAATGCAGAAGTTGGAAATCCAAATCAGAAAAGAAACGTTATTGCATGAACTCGAGTGGATGATGGATTTCACCATCTCCCCTTTCATTTTCATTCACAGCCGTGCACGCGGTTCCATCTACAGGCAAACTGAGACTAGTGTGGATTTCCAGAGTACAGTGGAATGTCACACAGAAAGTGATGGTGGAAGTGAAGGAGGATGCAAGTATACATAATAGAAGGGAAGAAGGTGAAAAGAAGTGCATTACCAGCTTTAGTGCCCCATGATGTTGAGGAACAGAAAGCATGAGTTCTTCATTCCAGACAGGATTCAAATTGCTCTTTATTACGTTCGTTCGCACTGTCTGGGATACCCAAACAGCAATGAGAGTGTTAATAAGCTAACAACATGTCAATGCAGTGCTGATTTGAGCAAAAAAAAAAAAAAAAAAAAAAGGCATTCCTATATTAGTGACTAACCAACCTGCTTCCCAAGTGTGAGGAGAACATATGGATCACTTGTGAGCATGTCTCGGATTGCTAGGTTTGTTCCTTTGATTACCTTAACCTTCAACATTCCGATGAATTCGACCATGCCTACCTGTGTTTGAAGCTCAGTGTTAGTGGCATTTTGGAAGAATATAATAAAACTGTCCTCCAGTTAACATGGCTAAACTACAAACCTAACTAGCTTATAGCTGTGCCACCAATAACAATAATTCCAAGGGCAACAAATGCATAGTTTACAAACGTTGGGAGTGTTTCGTAAATAGCTGTTAATTGATAGTTATTAGCTAACTGGGTTAGTGGGTTTGACTGGTTGATAGCATAAGCTGATTGTATAAAGATGTTTGGTGAAATATTTGTTAGCTGATAGTTGATTACATGCAAAATGACTTTCCCAAAAAACTGTTTTGAGCAGCTTTTTGAATTTTAGCGTTTTGGAGCAATAAGTTGTTATAAAAAGCTAATTAATCAAACACTATAATACTATATTAGTTGTTTAACCAATTCAAACAGCTAATAGTGGTCAAATAAATTAAAATGGGCTGATAAGCTAACTATGTTACCAAACAGGGCCATTATATTCCATGTGCAAAAAGAGTAGTTAAAACTTACAGAATTGTCCACTGAACTTGAACTCCTAAAGCTTTCCATACTCTTCCTAGATGAAAAACTCGATTGAAGAGACTGATTCTTTGGAGCTGACAAGATGCGCAAACTTGGTTTGAGGAAGTCTTGAAGCTCATATTTTGACCTACAGAGAGTCCATTTACATCAACATTCAAGGATATGAGTATTAGGACACTGTACTTTATCAGCTTTAGAATTCCTACTCCATCTCTGGAATATTATTGTAACTCTACTTTTACCAGTCATGCTCTAACTGCTAGGACTAACTCAAGAGTCTAGTATCAGGACGCTAGGGCACAACATTTCTAAACACAATCTTGACCTGATAAATTTAGCACGCTGGTCATGGCCGGCATTTGGTCCAGGTTTAGAAACTCCTTCAGGGATATAAGCTTCATAGATTGAATTTGCGGACGCATTTCCTCCAACCTCAATCATTGCATCAATTTCATTATCCGACCATTCATCTAAAGTAACAGACAAAACCTGCACATTGTGGGCATTCATTAGTTGGAGATGGAAAATGAAGGAGAAAACCACTACAGCAGGCTCAGCTATGAGAGGACAAATTGGTAAGATCCATCCCAAAAGGGAAGGAAGAAGCAGAGCCTTCTTAACAGTTAAGTACTCAAGAATCCTCTATGGTAAACATGCAAAAGAATTCCAAGTATTGTTTTGTTAAGAGTTCACATTGAAAAAATAAGAGAGAACATATGGATCTATTAGGCCATGGGTTAGACTAGCTAATTGATTGAATTCAGTCGTTTAGTGTGGTTTGACCCATATGTACATGGTATGGACAAACCCAAAGAACAAAAACGCAAAAAAAAAAAAAAAAAAAAAAAAAAAAAAGTTTAAAAGTTTAAAGGAGTCTTTGGTTGGATAGTTTAAAAACTGACCTTTGAGATGTGAGTGCCAAGGCTTCTATGCACACCAGAACACTTTAAACAGATAAAAACTCCAATATTGGCTGATCTGAAAGTGTAGAATTCATTCATTCTAAACATTCAAGCAACAATATAAAATATAAAATAAAAATCACAAAGATAGAAAAAGAATGTTCTTAGCTTTCCAACACACAAGGCTCAATGAATCAATAAAAGCTTTAGCTAAAACGGCCAGAGGGAGGCACATATGACCACAAGTTATAGGTTCAGAAGTCTCAGTTAAAGCAAAATTGAGTGTAGAGAATAATATTAAGGATATTAGCATATGATTGATTGTATTATGTAAAAATTTTGTAATCAACATGTAATTAAAAAAGGCTGCAAATTTACAAATTTAGTCTAGCCAGCCAGCCATGTAGGTGGTGGAACTTACGCCCATTTAGGGTCAGGAGCACCGCAATCAGCACATACACGATTTTCACTTTGGAGCATGAGGTCTCTTAGTCTTCTTTTACCTGTTTAAAATGACATTCACAAACAGAAAGGAAAAACATCGTTACCAGAAACAAACTAGTGGCAACTGAATGTTATGTGTACATGGTTTCCTCAAACGTGTTATGTGTAGCACATATATATTTTCAGGAGCATATATATAAATATATATATATATATATATATAGGGTTGAGTTCAAATGAGGACAACAATATATAGAGGACTGTGAGGACAAATAATAGGCACACAACAAATTACTATCAGGCACACAATTTAATACATAATGGCACACAATTTAATACATAATGGCACACAAGAATACATGTAAACATCAGGTTTCGAACCTAGACTCTATTAATTAACAAATGTATGCACGCGACATACAAACTGTGGCACACGACTACATTCGGCCATTCACACAACATACAGACTAATGGCACACACTACATCTGTCCTCACAGTCCTCTATAATATACTTGTCCTCATTTGAACGCAAGTCTATATATATATATATATATATATATATATATATATATATATATATATATATATATATATATATATATATATATATATATATATCCCTACTCCCTAGTCAATCTAACACCTCTTATTGATCAGAAAATCATTCAAGAGTACTATATCCACACGTACTAGGGCCTACATTGCTACTTCCACCTATATAATAACAATGGAACTTACTAAAATAAGGAGAAATTACAGGACAATATAATGCTTTGTGCATTATTTTCCAAATATGTGCTGGGTGATATTGCAAATTAAATAATTTCAGGAAAGGAATGGAATTGAAGTCAATACTTGAAGATGGTCTGCTAAGACCAGTTGCTCGTTGGCTCATGGCTCTCTACCAATATGCTGCTACCATTCAACAAATTAAAGCTGCATTTTTCATGAAGAACCCGCAAAGAATCAGTATATATGCAACATGTTAAAGAATTGAAGTCGAAGTTAGTCCATGTTAGAAAATTTACAATTACAAGCGACCAAAAAGGGTCAATCCAAATCCTTTGCTACCTAAGCGTTGTAAGATAAAGGGTGTGTTTGGTAAATAGCTGTTAGCTGATTGGGTTAGTGGGTTTGACTAGTTGATAGCTGTTAGCTAATAGCTTATTACATGTAAAATGACTTTCTCAAAAAGCTAATCGAAAAAGTTGCTTTGAGTAGCTTTTTGAACTTGAGGGTTTTGGAGCAATAAGCTGTTATAAAAAATTAATTAATCAAACACTTATATTGGTTGTTTAACTAAGTCAAAAAGCTAATAATGGTCAAATACGCCAAAATTGACTGATAAACTAACTATGTTACCAAACAGGCCAAAATGAATTTTGGGATTTGATTTGCATCCCTACACGTGAAAGAGAACCAAATGCTATGCAATTCAAACTTCTCCAAAAAGAGAATTGTATACATCATCCCCTTTCTAATATCGGACAAAAGGCTACTTACACTTTGAGAATCAATTTCTCATTGGCTCATTATCCATTTTGTACTTATAGTATATCAAATTAAACCCTGAAAACCCGAATCCCCTCTTACCCGACCAAAATTAAAAGTGCCCACTAAAAATTACACCACAAAATGATAACTTTAAATATCATTTTAAGCCAAAATTTCCAACCGTTCAAACTAAACTGAAAAAGAACTAACAATATTTCCAAATCTTCTTCAACAAGTTCCCAGCATTGAACCACACTGATAGAAGCATGTATCAGAAGTGAGTCAACTAACAAAAGAAGGTAAAGTGAAGGAGGGTACAAATGATCTGAAGCAAATATATATCAAAAAGTCCAAAAATCACCTCAAAGACACCAACGCACATCATGAATATGAAACACATGAGAAAACTAACAGAAATGAAAGAAGTCAATATATATATACAATAACGGATAAGGAATTACAATAAATATACAATAACGGATAATGAAATGATTGAAAAGCGAGTGTGAAGAGTTATTATCACCACGGATTTGTGAATGTTGCCGGTTTTGCTCTCCAGCTGACGGCGAAATGCAGAGACAAGGTAGAGAGAGAAAAGTAGAGAGAGAGAGAGAAAAGTAGAGAGAGACGACAGCAAAAAGAAGCGAATGTTTATATATTGAAAGAAAACAAAATTTTATTTATTTGATTTTTCTTTGTCTGACGCAGACACGGAGCGATTTTTAATGTTCAATAAATGCTAGAAACCATTGCGCCGACCAACCCGACGACCTAAAATCCGTTAACGACTACAAAATACAATTTTTTTACGCTACTCTCCATAAAGGCAATATACTTCATCTGTCACATTTTACATTTTTATCTATCTTACTCTCCTTTTTTATCCAGTCTCAATAAATTGTTCACTTTCTGTATTAAAATACAGAAAGTCAGAGAATACAAAGCAAAAGGAGTATTAAACAGGACGTTATAAAATACATATGGTCCATATGGAATTGAATAAACACATTAGTTATTGTGAAAATCACGTGATTTTGTTTAATTTTAATTTTAATTTTTTTTCACACTCCAGTTGTGACATACAATTTTATAATTCGTAATGTGCATTATTCTAAAATATAATGTATGTTATTTTAAAACATAATGTACATTATTTTAAAACATAATGTGCATTATATTACTCCAGATGTTTCATTCGTAATGTACATTATTCTAACACATAATGTAATGTACATTATTTTTACCTATAATATTCACGATGTTGTTTTAGATCCCACAATAATTTTCCGAATAAACAGGGTTGATTAATTATTAGAATATTCAACAACGTAATAATAAAAAAAGGAATCAAATGATTGAACATGACAAACACATGAAGCCCAGACTGGATTTAGCAATAGTGCCAACTCCCAATTCCACAGGGTTTTGGAAGTTACACAGAAACAATCTGTAGAAAAGGATTACATTATTCAGGCTAAAATCTACTTCTCATTCTGCAATACCTACCTAATAAAGCAGCTTCCATTTTCACCAGCAAATAACACCAAACATGCAAGTTCTCTTGAATCAATACTCATACAAACAATTATCTGAACAACAATGCTGTAATTCCCTGCCTGCCTAATGTCTAAATCTATAATGCTATCAGTAGACCTCAACGTGCCACTGTTTGTTCTTTTTGAGTTGTGAAAGCTTCGTCTCCCAGCTCTCCCCTCTTTCCTCCGCCACCCGCTTCAATGTATCCTGAATTCCAGGCATCATTCCCTTCAGCCCACAGAAATAGATGTGCGCTCCTTCATCCAGCAGTTTGAAGATCTCATCACTGTATTCCTCAATTTTGTCCTGAACATACATCTTGCCTCCGCTCTTGTTCTTCTGCTCCCGGCTAAGAGCACGTTCGTACCTGAAATTATCTGGATAATCCTGGAGATATTTGGTGAACTCCTCATCATACAGAAGACTGTCCTGGTTGGCCACCCCAAGGAAGAGCCAAGCAAGGCCATTGAACTTGAATGTTGGGACAGATTCCATAAACATACGACGAAGGTACCCTCTGTAGGGAGCCACACCAGTACCAGTTGCAATCATAATGTGTGTAGCATTTGGGTTATCTTCAGGCAGAAGCATTACCTTACCAGAAGGACCTATCAAAATTTTGAAAACATACTAAGGATGGTGCAGCGTTTAAATTTTTCACAACTATATCCATCACACAGACAATAAGCTAAGGAAGCTAATAGTCAATCCTTTTACTTCATTTTAAACCAATCAGTCCAGAGCACAAGTGGAATAGCATGAAACAAGCCTGGCAGCAACTAGATATTTAGAATCTATTTTACAATACAAAAAGAAGTCAACAGATAAGATTCAGAGAGCATAAACAAACGGCAGACTATAGCTAGAAATTTTTTACAAAAAAAATTATTGCCTTTTTATGGAAATTTCTGTGCCCCACCATATGAATTGTCTATTTTACAGAGAATCATTTCCTTCTATATAAAATTTAGACCACTGTACCATATAGCAAATTTTCTAATGTCACATGCAAAGTAAACTACATCATATCATTATCTAATGGTTAGATAAAGATATAAAGCAGCTTTGGTGCTTTTGTAATGTCTGGTCATCTGGTGGCACAAGCTTATTGTCTTTTTCTCACTTTGTGAATAATATGTTGTACTCAACAATAATATCATGCTAAAGTAATTATGAGATAAAAAAAAAACGTATTTTTTGAATACAAAATATCAAATATATCCCAGTTGAAGTGACATTTTCAGTAAAGTGGACAACTGCAGCTAATATAATAAAAAATATACAAAAAGGACAGGCATGATATTTTGAAAGAAATATTAATTGCAGAGAGACTATCATTCATTCAGACAGACAGCTTAAGTTAAATTTAGCAATGCTATTTTTTTTCATCTGGTTACCTTAAGCATCTATGCAATAGGTTGGTTCTGAACTTCTGATGAAAACATTACTAAACAGCTGTATCAAACAAGTGATTTCTTACCGGTGATCTTCACTTTGTCTCCAGGCTTTGAATCGCACAGGAAATTGCTGCAAACTCCCTTTTTTGACGGATCTTCTCTTCCTGTCTCAGGATCATAGTAGACAGCACGTCTGACACACAAACTAGCTGTTTTCCCATCAAAGGAATCTCCATATCTGGTAGATGCAATTGAATATAGACGAACATTGTGGGGAGCACCAGGTTTCTTTGGGTTTTCTCCCTGGAATACAATCACAAATGAGGTTTAGAAAACTATCTGAAGCTATATCCCAAATTGTTGAAAGGAACCAAGAGAAAACAAGTTGTCAGCTTGCTTAATCAATACTAGAGTCTAGAGATGTAATCAAGCCAAGCTGAGCTTGGCCTCTAATGTTTGAGCTAAGATCATGGTTAAATATAGATACTAGGCAATGATCATTTATTATTATTATTATATTATATTATACTAACTGTAAAAATCATGTAATATCTCTTTTTACGGTCAGCTTTACCTAGGTAATGGTTACTACTATACTATAGGTCTATAGCATGCAGGACAAAAAGCTTAGCTTTTGTGCACATACATGATACATTATATGACTCATGTAATCATCCATATCCACAAGGTAAATTTTAGCATAAGAAGTAACACACTAGAAACTTATTCAGTTTAATTGTAATGGAAGCAACACATAAATTAGAAACATGACTTACAGGAGGAATAACACCATAGCTTTGACCTTCCCAGTAAGGAAGATTGACGCCATGGTCAATCACAATATGACAGGTCTCCCCAGGAGCTTTAGGGCCTACAAGCCTCTCAACAGAGACAATTGTTGCAGTGTATGGCTCCTTTGGTTTGTACAGATTCAATGGAGGTTCCTTTGCATCTTCTAGAGACAAAGGTGAAACAGTCACTTTAGGTTTGCTAGCCTGTTGTACAGACATGCAAACAAAATTGTTTCTCCTGGATTTTCCATTTGAGGTTTTCAAGTTGAAATGTTGGAAATCGGTCCATGATTTATTGTTGAAACCTAAGTTAGCCTGCAGAAATTGGAATAAGCCATTATATCAGTTATGTGAAGCACTTTCCAAAACAGCAGAAAAATGTGCATATAATTTGTAGAAAAAAGCTGAACAAAGGATATTGTTCAATGAAAAGTTAGCGAAAATTAAGCCTTTTTCAAAAGTTCAGTGTTGTATTACCTGTGAATTAAATGGATTAAGCCATTAAGGACTACATATCATAATGCTGGACAGCCTCTGACTTCACCAACAATAAACTCAAAGATACTATACACATATGTGATAATGTGAGTGTCAAAAGCTATGGAAGTTATCTTTTAGCTAATCACTAAGGATATTGATTATAGAGTATACAGGGATTTAACCATGTAGCCCAGTCTTCAAAGTGTTGAGTTGGCCAAAGGAATTCTCATAAAAGGTTGTATGAAATATAAGAAAATGGAGTTGATAACAGTCCCAGAAGTCTGATCCAACAATTGAAGATAGGAAGTTTAACACATCACTACATTAGACAATCTCCACAAGACATTATGCAGGAACAGTTTCTCCACAGAGAGAAATCAAAGCAACATGAAATGAAACAAATTTTGTATCTAATAATGCAAACTGCCGCTTCTCATTAACTCACTTTTGTAAGAACCCGCAAGATCTCTCCCTAACCTCTAAGAGAAAATTCAAAATCAATGAAGAACAACCTTATTTGAAGTATAATTAACCTCAAATTGGAACACGAACAAAGCTCCAAAAGTTGCAGGAATCGAGATTTGGCAATAATTAAAAAAAATATTTCTTCCCTACACAATGGATTAGCAAGAACTAAAGTGGGGTTAGTTAAGAACCTTAAAGACGGATTTTCGCACGGACGAATCAGCATTGAAAGGGACAGCAAAAGTGACCTGCACGAACATAGCCAAAAATAAAAATGGAATCTTCATACAAAAAAAAGAAAAAAAAACACTAAATTCACTTCAAAACAGACCTGAGTGACGGCAGAATGAGCCATGATCGCAACAGATACACAGCTTTACTGTCTCAAGGCTTGTGTGAGGAAAATTTGCAGTGGAAATGCTGAAAGACAATAGAAATATATATATATATATTTCCCGCTTGGGATTTGAGAAGGAGAAGGGGGGAAAGGGAAGAAGAGAACAATTTGGAATTTGGTTGAGGAAGTGAGGTTTGATCCCTTGGAGAGTTGCAAAGGACGGCTAATTGCTTCTTAACACCTTTTCTCCCCTCCCAAACGTCTTGCGTCTCGCAGCAGATCCGCTTATGACACAATTTTAATGCTAATATGAAAAATTAAGATGCCTTTCGTTAGTTTACACATTAGGACATAAAAATCAAAATTATACTTATGTTTGGTAAACATAACTAGTACTTTTATTTATGTGTTGCACGTAAATCTGGTAATTATAGACACGATTTATTAACACGATATGAAACCGGACACGAAAATAACGGATTAGTATTTAGTCAATTGTTATGCTATGGACTCGTGTCCAATATGCATGCTGGACACGGTAACGAACCTCTTCCACTTTTTTTATTTTTATTTTTTTTTATTTTAAATTTCAGATCACTTTGTTATAGGAATATATGTTCATAATTTTATCACTATATGTTCATAATTGTAAGTTCATAATGTCAGAGCTCTGCGTTCATAATTGCATAACTGTACATTCATAATTCCGTAACTGTACATTCATAATTCAATAACTGTAAATTCATAATTTTCGAAACTCTATGTTCACAATTTTAGAGTTCTATGTTCATAATTTTATCACTATATGTTCATATTGTAAGTTCATAATGTCAGAGCTCTATGTTCATAATTGCATAACTGTACATTCACAATAACTGTAAATTCATAATTTTCGAAACTCCATGTTCACAATTTTAGAGCTCTATGTTCATAATTTCATCACTATATGTTCATAATTGTAAGTTCATAATGTCAGAGCTCTGTGTTCATAATTTTATAACTTACATTCATAATTCCATAACTGTACATTCATAATCCCATAATTGTACATTCATAATGGCACAAACGAATAACGTTGTTAACGTCGTTAACGGCGAGACAAAATCAATTTTTTTTAAAACTGGAATGACGCGTTTTCCCTAAAAACGACGTCGTTTTGGACTCGTGTCCACAATGCATTGTGGACACGGGTCCAGGGCATAATTTGCGGTATTTAGTCTTAATGTGTCCCGGGTCATTAACGGGTTGACCCGTTATGTTTTGTGTCTTAACGGGTCAACCCGTTAAACATATTAAGAACACGTTTAACCTGTTAATATTATCGTGTTAACGCCGTTTACTAAACCTGTTTATAACCCGCTAAGAACCATTGTCATTTAGATAAGAATCATTATCATGAATGAGATTACAAAATATATTATGAACATGACTGAGGATGAATTTATTACATTACACCAAAGATCCTACACCAATTATTGATGTTCAACAATTTAAAATTTGAATTTTTATTATGTTCAATTTTATTTCTAATAAATTTGTATGGACTCCTTTAATTATGATTTTTGGATGTTCTTTTATTACTAGTTTTTTACTCGCATTGCGTAATTGGGATAATGTCCATATATATATATATATATATATATATATATATATATATATATATATAGGCTGCGGTTCCCATGAGATCCCTATTAAAAATGAGATTATGAGATCTCATCACATCCATTAACACATTCCTAATGGATGGTTGAGATTGAAAGATTCTTTTAAACTAATTAAGGACATTTTTGAAACATAGATTAAAAAGTAATTCTAGTATTGAGTATATTTTTGGTTAGTATTAAATTGTAATCTTGAGCATAATATTAGGTAGAATATTAAAGGTAACAATTAGTAATAATTTGTATTGAGAGCTGATATTTTTAGTTGATTATGTACGACGGTGTGTGCGTGTATGTAGTATGGTGTGTGCAAATTGTATGGATGAGTTTTTTTTTTTTTTTTTTTTTTTTTTTTTTTTTTTTTTTTTTTTTTGTAATTTTATGAAAATAGTTTATATGTGTGTGCGTGAATTTATGTATATGGGTGGGTTTTAAAGAAGAAGATTGTAAGAGTAGTACGTGTAATTTTTTTTTTTTTTTTTGGGACACTGGAGATGAACTTACGGTGGTTGTGCGAATATGTACTTCGACGTGTGCAAAGCTTAGGGATGGGAGCATTGTTTCTTTAAAAAAAAAACAACAAAAATTAATAATAAGCATGTGCGTGAATGATCTACGTTTTTTTTGTTATGCTATAGGCGTAGATTCTATATGTGGACATCCCCTTACTTTGTAACAAAAAAAAAATTAAAAAAAAAATGAATAGAACCTATTCAACACAAGTAAAAATGAAAAAAGTAAGTGCGCAAACGATATTCCCACCAAATTTATTATTTCTAAATAAATAAAATCCGCATTGAAATTAATAGACGAATATAATATGTCCATAGTCTAATATGAAAAGTATAGGCACTAAAAAGCAATTTAGCTGTACTACTTTTGATTTTCATCCAACATTAGACAAACTATCTTGAACCATCTACACAGACTATCTTGAACCACGTCTGGACTCTCACCATCTGCATTTCCTGCAAATACATACGCATCAAAGCTAAATGCACATACAATCCCGAGATTAAAACCCAAAAAAAAAAAATGTCAATGCATAAACTATCTTACACCCGGCAATATTTAGAGTTGAATTACGTAAACGCATACACTTCATTCATTTCACGTTCATATCTAACACAACCAAAGTACCCAAATAACTATACGGAGTGCACAAATACATGTTTGATCATATAGAACAATGGCACTAAGTTTTTTGAAAACCATAGAGGATAAAAAATCTTGCATTAACATAATAACCAGCAAATATGAATAATCAGCATTAAATACAGATAAATTTGAATTCTTGTCCTTACTTTATACCCCAGTTTTGAGCCAATTCATGTTGCATTGCCATCGTCACACATAAGGACCCATGTGCCATCCTCCCATAATGCTTTTCAATCCTAGGCACAAATTAAAGATTTAAATAACTTTGGTACATAAAAATACAGGGAAGATTATATATGAAAGAAGACTTAGCTACCAATGATAAAATGTGACAAATCGGCTATTCCTGCCAAGAGACAGTGCAAGGAGTGTGTATCCAAAATTATGCCAATCTATAATGAATGCAGAATGTCTAATCCAGCTTACCCATTTTACAACAACCAATGTAGGAACAGATGGTGAGTTCTGTAGAAGTTGAAACAGTGAGATTAAACTAATGATTATATATCAAAGTATTAAAGAGATATGTGATATTATTATTAAATAATTGAAAATGAAAAACAACAGAGCTCTCACTGAAATAATGTTCGATAGAATATAAAGGATTCCATATCTTTTAGGAATTAAATTGTTTGAATGGATGGTAGAAAATCTACAGAATTGAACAATTGGAATAGATTTGGCTGCTGTAAAGTACATTCTCATAACTCACCTGCACTACGAATACATCATGAGCAGGAATTTTGACACAGAGATACCCGAAAAGCATCAGAAACTAAACCAATGGCTTAATAATGGAAAAACCAAATAACAAATGCAATCACCCATAGCAGTCCAGAAGCGTATGCGCATATACTTCAACCCATAGCACATAACAACTACCTAAATTATGAGACTGTTTTCAACCCCATAGCACAAATAAAGTACTCACACAAGCCAAAACCTAAAAATGCAAACACCATTCAACCCACTCGCACAGACGGCCAAAACCCATAACATCCTACAAGAACGAACCCACCCCCATTTAACAAACCCGAAAGAAAACCCTCAAATACCAAAAAAAAAAAAAAAAAAAAAAAAAAAAAAAAAAAAAAACCTCGTCTAGAATTCTCCATAAAAAAAAAAAAAAAAAAACAAAAGAAGACAAAACCCTAATCAGAATCTGACCCCATGAACACCCCCCATCTCGCCGGCACCCACGCCATCTACACCGCCAACTCACCACCACCTTCTTCCCAAACCACCAGCCCCAACAAACCCAATAAAAAAAGGGGACATGCAGGAGATTTGAAGCCCTCAAAACGCACCATAGAACCACCCAATCAACCCTAGAATACACACCTCCCCCCACGCCCGCGTACCCCAATCGAACACACACACCTTTGCATCACCTACCCACATTCAGAAACACCCTTCAACCCAGAATCATGCAACAATGGAGAAGGAGTCCAATCAGTAAAACATACCTTGAACAACAACGGAGGACGATCCACGCCGCCGCAATGAACGCCTAGATGATTCACCGTCCATGGGTTAGTTGTAGAGCGCCGACGAACGAGCGAGAGTTATACGGATGCGGCCTAATGATTATCGCCGACGCTCGAGAGACAAGAAGATGGAACGCGTGGGGAAGTCTTGAATGTCGACGAACACGAGGAAACCGGAGAGACAGAAAATAATACAAAGTCTATTAAGGAAAGGAATCAACGCATCAATATAAAAACGGTAACACAAATAATGACTCATTGCTAATTACATTAATACCCCCTTAATAAACGAATCATCCAATTATAAGCTTGAACCTGCCTTCTAATCACATCCGCACAATCTCAAAAACCAACGCCTAGGATCGACCCTCACCGTACCTCATTTTAATTAGGTACCTCACCTGATCCAATATATATATATATATATATATATATATATATATATATATATATATATATATATATATATATATATATGGATGCACTCAGGTGCGAATAAGTGTCTAGGAAGGAATATGCGAACGAATCAGCGCGCGACACGTGTCTAGATTTAATAGCTTAAAAAAAACGCGGTGGTATTTTCGTAAATAATTGAACATCAAAGTGCAAGTAAAATCATTTACAATTGCACCTACTTTCACCTATAAGGGCATGTAATTTTGCCTTGTTAGCATTCACTTCCCGCAAATATTTATGCACCACTTTCACCTATAAGTGCATGTAATTTTGCCTTGTTAGCATTCACTTCCCGCAAACATTCATGCACCTGGGTGTGCTTATAACTATAGGTACAACTATTTATAACTATAGGTGCAACTACTTATAACTATAGGTGCACCTACTTTCACCTATAAGTGCATGTAATTTTGTCTTGTTAACATTCATTGATCTGAGTTCAGCGGGTAGTAATAACCCTGAAAACCACCCGCAAACATTCATGCACCTAGGTGTAACTACTTATAACTATGTGTGCTGATAGGGATATACGCCCGGGACCCGAATGACCCGCCCGGGACCCGAATGCCCTGGCGAACGGGCAACCGCCCAATCCTCGCGATAAGGGAGCGTGACCCATCCCGACCGGCCACGCCCGGGAAGTACGAAAGCCTCCTGGCGGCGACGTCCCTTCGGGACTCCGCCGGTAGGCGGTCGAACCAGCCGGAGGACACCAGTCGGGGCCCCCGTGCTTGAGAAGCAGTCGAAGAGAGCGGCAGTCAGATCCTGGACGCCGCGTGGCGGACGGCCACACAGCGTCAGATAGCGCCCGGTGCATGCTCGCCACGTGTCCAACATGCTGGAGGACCGGTGCCACCCACCTTTTAGACCCTATAAATAGAGCATTAAATGCATTGTGAAAGGGACTTTTGGCACAAGACAAGACCAGAGCCTCCCGACCTGTCCTTGTCCACGCCTGTATAAATACACCACTCTGTATTAACAGTATCATTTTGGCGCCATCTGTGGGGATCGAACTGAAAGTCGCCCGGCAAGACCGAAACCGATCCCTGAAAATGTTCCCATTCATGGACTTCAATAATGAGGCGGAAGCCGAAGAGAGCTCATCGGATCTCCGCTCACAGATGAATCCACGAGTGGATCTCAATACACCACCGGGAAGGGAGTTCACCCCGGACCCGGTCAATTTCATCCAACTAGGATTAGCATTCCCGGGCATGCCAGGACAAATGCCATTCCAGTACCCGGTGTATCCCGCCGAAATGCTCGATCCCGCTTACCCGTATTGGCAGAGCCCGCAGCGCTTTTTCGGAGCCCAGTACCAGTATCCCCCGGGCCCAGGCGTTTATCAGCCGTACATGCAGATGCCAGTACCAAACATACCGAACGTGCCTGAGCCGGGACAATCAGTAGCGTCAGCCCCGGTGGCGGCGCCCGAGCTCCGTCGAGCCCAATCCGAGCGCCGACCCGCCCGATCGAGACTAGGACCCGGTAGAGCACAAGAAAGGGGGGGGAGGGGGCTGAAGAAGTCCCCGCGAGAACGAGTGCCTTCATACGCCTCCAGCCGTCCGTGCATCAGAGGGTCGGAAACCGACAAGAGGTGGAGGAATCCGTAAACGCCACAGTATCCGGAGAAGCCAGCAGCTGCCGATCCAGGAGGCTGGCGCGGCGAGCCGCCGACCAAGAAGACCATCGGAACGAGGCCAAGGGACTGTTGCAACAAGTTCGAGAAGAGTTCTGCAAATGGAAGCTGGAGCACGGCCACCGGTCGTCCGAACCTGAGGCACCCCTATTGCGCAACCCGTTCACGGCTGACATCATGAGCCTCCCGTACCCCCATGACTTGCGCATACCGGGGAATAAAGGTTACGATAGGAAAACTGACCCGGAGGCCCACATCAACTCCTATTATGGAAACATGTTGATGATGGGAGTGACCGACGCCGTAATGTGTCGGGTATTCTATTCCACCTTATCAGGAAGGGCATCCGATTGGTTCAAGACGCTAGAACCCGGTTCAATCGCTTGTTTTGCGGAGTTGGCAAAGAAATTCGTGCACAAGTTCGCTACGTCCAAAGAAGTGCGAAACACTTCACCTACCTCGAGAAGGCCAAACAGCTAGAGGGCGAATCTCTGACCGATTTCCTGATCAAATGGAAGGCTGCGATCGGCGAAGTCGAACCTCTCGATGACCGGATAGCGATCAATGTGCTCCACTCCAACTTGCGAGCCGGAGCCCTATACCAGGAGTTCATTCTGCACCCCACGGCCACCTACGACGAAGCAATCCGACGGGTGATCGAATACGCCAATGCGGACGAAGCAAACTTCGCAAAACGACAACAGGAAGCCGGAGGCAGTCGGAAACCACCTGGCCGGCAGGAAGGAGGACGGTCGAACGATAGGTCCGGTAGAGGACGGGGAAGGCTGCCCGACTTCACGCCCTTAAACAGGCCGGCGGTCGACGTCCTCCGCTTTGCGCAATCATGTAACATGATCCAGCTTCCAGAACCCCAGCGTGAGAGCCGCGACAAGACGAAGTACTGTGCATATCATCGCAGTAAAGGACACGAGACGGAGGATTGCACCACATTGAGGCAAGTGATAGAAGAGCTGCTGCGATCGGGCAAGCTCACCGAATTCACCACCAAAAAGGAGGAGAAAAAAGTCTACCTGGAAAAACCCATTCAAGAAGTCGAACAAGAACAAAAAGGACCAAAACCATGATCGAGATCCCGATTCCCGACAGTCGACCGGAAAGCAAGATATCCATGTCATCTTCGGTGGACCGAATGAGAACCCTAGCTCCCGGGAAAGATTCCCGGTCGGATTGATAGGGTCGGAGCCTAGCGACAAAAGGCAAAAGCTAGAACCAATTACGTTTACCCCAAGCGACATACCCGAGGGAGAGGATTGCCACGCGGAAGCGATGGTCGTCACAATCGACATTATGGGGATCGACGTCCATCGCGTCATGGTGGACACGGGCAGCAGTGTGAATGTCTTGTACATATGTTGTTTGATATTTAAAATGATGAAATTGATGTTGTGAAGCTATCTGGTTTTCTATAAATTTGGAGTAAGCCCTTGGTAAGGGGGTTCAATTTTAGCTATTGATGTTATGCTTTGGAAAATTGTTTAAGGCGAGATTTGAATTCTTAACCCCTTAATTATTAATCAAAGCTGATTCCACTTAAGCTACTTCACCCTTTAAGAAACTATCTTGGTTTATTTTTTATATTACTTAGGCTTGAAGGATTATTTATATTTAAAAGTATTTTTTTTTTATAGAAAATCATAAATATGTTTGAGAAGGTTTAAACTACCAAAAGCTATGATTTGCCAATAAAGCTCTATTTGAAGAATTATATATATGAGTATATATGTTTTGGGGAAATAATATACTTGATTTTGAGAATATATACTTATAGAATTATGTATGAGGTGTATATTTGAAGCTTATGCTATCTTTTCCCTA